TCGTGTGCATATATGTTTCTTTTTTTTACTCATGCGAACATCCTAGGGATAGTCATAGTCTAATCGGTTTGTTTGAGCCGGATTATGTCCGAAAATTAGAACCAAAGTTTTATTCGAACGATTTGCTTTTTTCTTTTGTCAAACATTTACCGTCAAATTTCTTTGATTTCAATATGCAAACCAAAAAACCAAAATTTTACTTAACTAAATGAAATTTCTTCAAGCCAAACGAAAGCTATAAACCTGTAAACCAAATATCGACTACTTGTCGAGACATCATGCATGTATAGAATATTCAAAATTCAAATCCACGACATTTTTTATGTTCTTCTTAATTTAAAATGTTAAGAAACTGTAAGCAAACAACGCCAATGGAATATAATCAAAATAGCAAAAGGGAAACAACTTGCACCAAACATCTAAAACTTGGTTACTTTTTCAGTTTTGAAATTTGAAAAGGATCATATATAGAATACAAATCATACATGATTATTACGTGTAAATCAAATATATGATTTCGAATTCATATTTGGCGGCATAGATTAAATATTTAATTAGTTTGCTTCAATCTTAAAGATCCATGGCGCAAGCAAATATCATGCCGCCTAAGTAAATGATAATAATTTAATCTTCAAAAAGACATTTAGTCTACCTTAAAGCAAAATGTTTACTTCTCTTTTTCTCTCATCCATGCGATAATACTAAATCTATTAAATTTGAGATTCGAATTTTCAATTTGTACAAATGGGCCACATAATGTTCTCTTAATCTCAGCAAAATTTATTATTTAAGTTTTGTTCTACTTTTGAGTGTTTATTTGTTGAATTAATATTCAAAGATGGTATGCACGAAAAAGCAATTAGTGGTCGTACTATTAAATGCTTTTTCTCGTTAAAAATCTAATAATGATCTTATTGAAAAAGTGCTTTTCATTTCATCGATTAAATTAACTACCACGATAACTACCAACAAACTTAGCATTCTTTTAGTTTCCCAAATTTAAAATAAAATAAAATAAAATGTTGCCGTACGAATAACGAAAACCTATTTTGGTCGGGAATAGTATCTCCCAATTAATGTAAGATTGTGATTGTTAATGATTTTTATTTAAAAATTTATCGACAATTTGACCAGAGTTGATTGACCAAATGCAATCCTCTATGTCACCAAGTATAGTTTTGCTTCAAATTTTAAAGTGCGGAAACTGTAAAGTGGTGTAAAACCGATAGAATAAATTGACAATAGTAGTTTGGTTTGGACTTCCATGTTATTATTTTTTAATTGTTTTTGATTCGTAGGGTTGAAAGGATCTTCAAGAGGATTTGTTATTAGCCTTTTCTTAATAATATGGTGTTTTGATTTTAAAAAAGAAAAGAAAACTAAGCAGAACGGTTAAACTAGTTCGAACCATAGAAGCCAATAAAAAGATTAGAAAACAAACAAATTGAATTACAAATTGAATGATCTGGTAAAGGTGATCGTGGCTAAACGAATTCACAGATAACATCTCTACTAAATCGAAGTTGAAGATTCGATTTATTATCTAGTTTCACTTGTTGTTGTGATTTTATCTTTACATTTATGCAATCTACTACAAACTCGTAAGCTTGAGAATTACATATAGGTCTATTGATTAAGTTTAAGAGGGGAAAAAAAGAGTTTTGGTATGAATGCGAAGACATAAACCAAGGCCCGTAACAGATGAAAATGGGCCTGAGGAAATGAAACGGCACGCTTTGCTGTCGTTTTAAGAAGCAGAAAATTTTGCTGTTGTGTTTATTTATTTTTATTTTTCCCGTCTTCCTTTTCTGTTCGCCTGGTCAGAGATTTGACTCTGAATTGTCTTCACCTCTTGGAGTCATAGCAATGGCGTCTGAGGCAGTAGCAGATCATGATACAAGTAAGAAAACTTTTTCAAGTTTCGCTT